TAAGATCCAATTTCTGTGCACAGAGACAGGGGTGTAAGCACATTGAAACCGTGGGGGCACATGTCCCCACTCGCCAACGTAACTTGACGTTGACGTAAAGCTTCCAGATGGGCACACCAAAATAAAACCAAGCCCATGTGATGCTATTTTACGGCGCGCAACGATTCGTGCGCGCCGGTGCTGCACTGGTCTAGGTGTTCCGGGCCCATTTCTGAGTTTTTGAGATATGACCTCAGGTAACCTCACCAATCGTGAGAAAATGATTGCGTACTGCGCTAGAGCAGGTGCGGAAAGGAGCGGCAACGGGGCCGTGGCACCCCAAGACGGCCAACCGGCCAATAAATGACGGATCGCTCCACTTCAAAGAAGTTCTTAACAAGTTTAACTGCAAGGTAGTTTGTTGTAGAACACTCATTGAAACACAAAAAGCAGAATCCGACAAGTTTTGGAAAGTCGAAGCACCTGTTCGTACTTTTACAATTTCCTCTAAGCCGATGTGGTATCCCCATGGTGGTGTTTTGGATCAAACACTGACTCTGAGACTTCAACAGCAATAACGATTTGAACGTGGAAAACAGTGGGCTTCCTGCGTGCCGCATGACTTTATACGGCCCAAATTAGTGGTCAGCTACAAGCCAAAGCCTACTGTATTACCTGATTACTTGATTTCTATGGCGTGTATATATATATCTGATTTCAGTTAAAAGAAATGCGCGGCAGATGTGAGCCCGCTGCCTTGTCTAAAAATCGAGGCATCGGTGTAGTTTCCTTTCAAAATGGGTGGGGAAGGGGAGTGGATTCAGCCACCTGAACTTTGGGAAGAAAGAGGGTCAAATTTGGAGAGAAGCCTATTTATTGGCATATTGTGGGGTTAGGTTGAAACATTTATCACTGTTCAATCCCCTCCCCCAAGCTCATTTCATGCAACTACGTCCCTGAGTGAGGGGCCAATCAGTGATTTTGCTGTCGGGCTGATTGAGTTGCCGAACCCCGTAAGGTTAAGCGTACCATGCTATTTGTAGTAAGCTAATGGTGATAGGTTCCAGGGCCCGCTGAAAGCCGGCTCCGGAACCAGTTATCCCCATTGGGAGTTACCCCCATCCATTGAGTTATCCCCAGGCTCACTCACCACTAGGCCACTCTCCCTATTTGATGTTGGCACGCGAGTCGAAGCTTCCTGCAGAGGTAAGCCTTGGTGCCCCTGTTGCAACAAACAGCCGTACCGTAACGGGTTATGTTGGCAATCTCTGCGCCAGTTTGCGGCAGGTGCACCACTTTGCCATCTCCGCATCCGATTGCAGGCATGGTCGCAACAGGACATTTGAAAGCAAGTTGAATGAGTTTTCATTCCACCCTGGCGATACGGTACATTTGCACAGGGCGGTTGTGCCCGCCGGCCAGTATTACAAGCTCCTGCGGTCCCGTATAGCAGCCACGGTGGTGCGTAAGGTGGGTGACCTGAATTATAAGGTGCGTCTCGAGGTCAATGGGAAAACGATTATTGTGCATCACAACGGGGATTCTAGGGACACCATGGAGAACAACGGAACAACAACGGAGAACACACGTAGGTGTGCACGTGAAAGCGTTGACATGACGCAATTTACGCCGCTTCATCTGCCGGCCCGATGGAGACACGGACCAGACTCCCACTAGGCACCCCGTGCGCCCCCCCCCCCCTACAAAAAGGGGGGGGGGGCGGCGACGCTCGGCGTATCGAACGCCGACTGGATTGGCGGTCCGGGCCGGCGGGATTGATTGGCGGCCAGGGCCGTGGCCGCTCCCCCGGGCCGCCGGACGCTCCGGACAGCCGGACTCGGCACCAGCGGTCCGACGCGAGAGACGAGCCGCGGCCGCTCCCCGGGCCGCCGGCCGCTCCCCGGGCCGCCGGCCGCTTCCCGGACCGCCGGACGCTCCGGACAGCCGGACTCGGCACCAGCGGTCCGACGCGAGAGACGAGCCGCGGCCGCTCCCCGGGCCGCCGGCCGCTCCCCGGGCCGCCGGCCGCTCCCCGGACCGCCGGACGCTCCGGACAGCCGGACTCGGCACCAGCGGTCCGACGCGAGAGACGAGCCGCGGCCGCTCCCCGGGCCGCCGGCCGCTCCCCGGACCGCCGGACGCTCCGGACAGCCGGACTCGGCACCAGCGGTCCGACGCGAGAGACGAGCAGTGGCCGCTCACCGGACCGCCGGACGCTCCAGACAGCCGGACTCGGCGCCGGCGGCGGTGCGAAGCGAGAAACAGGTCGCGCGCGACCGCGGCCGCCGAGCCTACGGCCGCGTGCATCGACACAGGTGCTCCCAGGGACCGTGGAGCGTGCACGTTTAGCTTTTGGTAGCAAAACTGGTGGGTGCCCTACCGAATGAGTACCTTCAATTTTAACGCCAATTATAGGAGCCCTTTTATGATCTACGTCCAGGACAATGCTTGTAGGAATTCAAATAAGGAAGCAATTAAAACAATGACCTTAACTATACACTACAAATAGGACACTCGGTCGGCGCTTTGCCATAAAGTGACGGTACGTATGCACTATGTATTGTGACGCAATACACCTGACATGCAGCACGCATCCTCATCAGGCGTCGTCCTACACACGCGTCAGCCGCTGCGCCGGCATCAGTAGCTATACATAACCCACCCGAACGTCTCGGATATGTCTAGACGGCGGAAGACTGACGGCAACACACGGACACACACGAGCACACGCGACGCACAGCGTGGCCGTCCCACGTCCGGCAACCACACCTACATCAACACGCGCGCGCTTACTACCCCTCTCCCTCCCCTCCAGTCGCTCTCGTCAACCACACGACACTCACGCAACAGCAACAACAGTGCCCTCCCCCCCCCCCCGCTCCCAACGCACGTAAGATTTCGCTCGAGGCGCAGACAGAGCGCCACGCGGGTAGGTGGGGAACAAGGCGGCCAGCGCACGAGGCGGAGAGGGCGGAGCCGCGCGAGCAGCGCGGTTGGCGCGCGGAGGAAACGGTCGGTGCAGGCGCGCAGCCCTGGAACAGCTCGTCTCATCCGCGGTATTCGTACATGGACAGAAAGGTACGGAACGAAGGCTTCGCTAGGCAGCATACTCACCTACACTGCAGTGTTCATTGCAAGCGAACACGCACGATTCGTGACGTCAGGTTGCAGCACCGGCTATTTCGCATTCGTGTTCACACGTGTTCTAACTGTACACATGGATCAACCCTGTCAGCACCCCGAACGGAAGCGTAGCTAGAACAAATAAGACACGTGAGCGAAGTGAAATCGGTGAGCAGCGAAAGCCAAGCCGTGCGTAGCAGAGAACCATAGACCACCACCCCGGCTAAATTTTAAACCAAGCGCGCATCTCAAGCACTCAGACGAGGAGGTCTGCCGGGCTCCCCCGGGATCAAGGTTACTCCCGGTCAGACCCAACAGAGCGGACTAACGAGGGTCTGGCCCAAGACGGACCGGACCCTCTCGGGCGGCAGGATCGCGCCCACGGCAGTGGATAAACCGGCGGCTACACCGACCGGCCAGGCAGCGGAGCAGCTGGAAGTGTGAGTCCCAACGGTCACCGAGAGGTGGCACCAGGAGCGGGAATGCAGTCCGGCCAATCAGCACCGCTAAAATGCGTGTTGTCGTAACAGAGCCTTTTGTGGCGAAGGCTGCACCGTGAGGTCACGTGCTGTGTTTTCAGATGAAAAAAGCACGGGGCAGATTTTCGTGGAAAGGCGTGGCGAATCTGGGCACTCCCGGCACCCGGCCTCCCCGGATCACGTCCGACGTCACGTGACGGATATCGAGTCTCAGTAACAAAACACCTTTATACGACCATTCGCGCGGAATAAAACTGGCTCGCACCAGAGAGGCAGCCCACAACTGCGCCAGACGGTACTCCAGCACGCCACGCATTCAGGATAAAACTGAGTTAGGATCACACCAAACAACCTCTAGTTGACTCCATTCCACGAGCGTCAAAGTCCCACCCATGCCTTATCTCCGCGCCATCATGTAACTAGGACAGCGATGCGTTTGCACCGAAAAGCAGCAACCACGGTAACACATGCACATAATATCGTACATCGGATGTGAGAGGCGCAGCGCAACCAGTTTAAACGTACGTCCCACGTGCAAATAAACGCAGCTGGCGCAAAACAAACTGAACAGGGGAGCTACCATAGCTGCTTCACTCGCTCTGCAACCAAACGGAATCGTATAAAAATGAACAAGACAACGTGCTCCATGTCTGTGCACCTGACGTCACGGAACATGCAGAACTAGTGGGCTCGGCGCCGCCGGCGCGGTGCGCTAAACAACACCGGGGTCGACGGGCGCCTCCCACTGAACTGTAATATACACAGGGAAACGGCTAAACACACAAACCCGAACACCCAGGGGAGAGATGCGATTATTGCGAGTGCGCAACATAAAACGGCAGGTATTCGGTATGACTCGCACCGATAGATTGATGACAGCCGTTGTGTCCATCACACATAAACTGAATAAAGCCGCGGCCATGAGCTATTACGCAGACACGTAACAATTAAACTACACACTTAAATGCTGATGTAACGCCGTTTCAGAGCTGAATTTCGCGAGAACAACCATCTGAAGAAAAACTGTGCCTGAATGTCACACCACCGTAATGCCTTCCCGCACTGGTCAAACGACACACCAACACGCAAGCGGGCGCCATCTGAGGCGACATGAAAAGACCCCAGTCCCGCCCGACACCCACCCATCCCAGACATCCCTGAACGCCGAGAGAGCGAGGTCCTCCTATTGAGCGAGTCTGACCTGCGAACCAGCGCTTGCTGGCCGACGGCGGGCCGACGGCGGACCAGTGACGGACCAGCGCCGGACCCTGGCCGGCCGGGGCGGGGCCAGGACAGGGGCCACCCTCAGGGGGGGGGGAGGATACAGGGACGGGGGTGGGGAGGGCGTCCGGTCGCCCGCCCCGTGGCAAGGCGGCGCGTCCGGCCAGCGGCCGAGGAATGTCTTGCGGGACACCTGACAGCGGGTACGCCGGCGGTGGCCCGACAGACGCCAGCACATCCCACAGGCCTGCCGGCGGCCGCAGCTCCCGCGAGCGCCGGCCATCCACGCAGACCGGCGCCGACATGGCCCGGCCGGCCCAGACACGGTACAAAAATAGATAGGCTCTGCGCGCTGGCGGCGCGCTGGTCCCGGTATCACAGCGGCTACTCGACGGCGAACCCGCACGTCTCCTCCACGGCTTGGGTCAGCTTGTCGTACATGACCTGCGGAGGAGACGGGGGCATCAGGCACGGCCGTGCGCCGGGCCCTCCACGGGCGGGCCTGTACAAGGGCCTCGGCCGTCAGAGGACGGGCGGCGCAGGCCCCGCCGACCACCCACGTGCACCACGCGAGGTCTACCCATTGAGCGCGCAGCACATCAGAACACGTGGGATACACCGCAGCAGGTGTTGGCGATGCACTGGGCGCGAAGTAAGCAAGCCCGAGGCAAAGACTTGCCAAATCCTGCTCAGAATGGACCAAAACGTACACCGACACGGCCCATGTCCACGTGACAGGGCCGCGCAAACGAGCCGGGAACGTCTAACCCGCAAGCACTGGCAGTAAAGCGATGCCTAACGCGACACACGTCCAACGAAATATCAGCTAAGAAGCACGATCCGCACCAACAGCCCGTTCACGCGTAACAACGCGACCATCGCCACGCCACGCTCGCACCGATCGCCCACGTCATCGCTCCACAAAGCACCGAAACGCCACACCCACTCTGGCGCTCTCCGCAGCCCGCGGAGAGCGCCGGCCGCCGGGCAGCCCACTCTCGGCAGCGGCCCCGCCCGGCCGGCGCCCCCCGCTACCGAGCCCCCGACGGTGACCCGACCCAGCGACGACCGGCGCCCAGGTCACTCGCCCACTGACCTCGTAGCTGGGGTACTTGGGCACGTCCAGTCGGTTGAAGCACGTGTGCGCCTTGGGCAGGTTGCCCACCGGCGCGTCGATCACGTGGATGGTGAAGAGACGCGGCCCAGCGGCACCCGTCGAGCCCTGGCGGCAGGCGACGGAGGCAGAGCTTAGCACACGGCCGCTAGGGAGCACGGAAGGAAACGCGCTAGCAGGGCGGACGGCATCGAGACTTAATTACAGCAGAGACCGCTCACACTGTCACGTCTGCACTGAGACGTTGATTGCAGTCGCGGATACAGGGAAGACGTTTCTCCGCGGATGTTGCCAATTAAGTTTACAGAATGACGTGCCAAGTGACACTGATTTGCCACAGCATCAGGGCGAAGAAATATATCAGCCATGGCAGCGTTCAATTTGGCGCCCAGTCGGCATCTACCCTGCTTGACGTCACTCTTTGATGTTGACTCGGCTGATAACGCACACGAAAGAAACCGAAATGGGGTTTGTCACTGCGACGACGACGTTCTTCCGTTCCCCTCTGCGCCACACGCGTTGATGTACCTGGTGACTACGACCTATTGTCCCGGCCAGCCTTAACCCGCGCCGCCGCGGAGGTCACGGCAGACGCGCCATATTCACCCTCCGCCTCCTGGTCCCATCCTGGCATTGATATCACTCACATATCTTTCCCCGTAATGACGGTGATCTTGTCAGATTTAAATGTGACGGTGAGCTTGCCAGATGTCCGATATATATGCTTTTGATATAAACAACACACAAAGATTGCTATGGCCACCAATCACAGGGGAAAAAAGTGACTTAAGGACGACACGGACCAAACCACGCAAACCCCGCCCGTACAGCACTCAAAGGCGGTCAGATCCCCCACAGACGACGCCAGTCGAGTATAGATCAACCGGCTACCTACTAGGCCACCCCAAACCACATGCTCCCCGCTGCTCGTCAGCGACCCCTCCCGCGCCCAGGTCGTCCGCGCGGGCTACCTCCGCAAGGCGCCGGCACTGGGCGGCGCGCCAGCTCACCTGGAGCGCCTTGAAGCCCTGTAGTGGCACGCGGCTGCTGCCGGTGACGAACTGTAGCAGGCGCGCGCGCATCTCCTCGCTGTACGAGTCGACGATCCGCCAGAACCACCGCACCACGTCGTCCTCGGCCGTGCAGTGCTGCCGACGCCGGCGGAGGTCAGGTCAGGTCGAGTCACAGCGGTTCACGTCAGGCCACGGCAGTTCGTGTCAGGTGAAGCCACGGCAGCTCCTGCTAGGTCGCATCAGGTCAGGTCAGGTCAGGTCAGGTCAGGCTACGGCAGGCGGCCGGCCGGCTCAGGACAGCGGTCAGCCCTGGCTGGCGGTTAGCTCCGGCAAGGACGACCTTTCGGTGCCCCTCCCCAGTGAGCTCGAACGGCTCGATCGCAGCGCCCAGGGCCGCGTCCGCTTCTGGGGGACCGTCCCGCCCACGGTGCACACACAAGCTCACGCGGCGGCCGCACCGTGGCATGTAACGCACGCCACCCAACCCGGTGCCATCACGTCACGTCTTGACGCGCCACGGCGCCCCGCGCGCCGAGAACCAGCCCAGCACGAGAGATGTCACTCCAGTCCCTGTCCGCTCGTTCCACCCAGCACGGACTGCAGAAGGTGACCGCCTTGTTCCGTTCCCCTCACACGAGCGGGCCCACACAGACCTCCACAAGCCGCCGCGCCCGCCGCCGGCCCCACCTCTCCCTCACCTTGAGCCGCGTGTTCTGCTTCCAGTCATCCACGTCGATCTTGCCCAGACCGCCGATCAGCAGCTCCAGCTCCCTCTCGTCGAACGTCTGGCGACGGCCGGCGCGGTCAGGTACGCCAGCTGTCCGCGGGCCCACAAACCGGGCCCGGGCGAACACGGGTAAACGGGCACGCCCCCCCCCCCCCCACACAGCGGCCCCCAAACAGTGGCCTCCAGCAGAACGCCAAGTTGTCAGTCGTTCGTTCCGACGTTCAGCCCATAGTCGTCGGGACCATGTGTGGTGGTGTCAGATGTGCACCACTGTAAAACCGCTCCATGCAAGAGCACACGCCGCGTCCTTTTGAGACATTCGGTGACTGTGTGGCGCCAGAGTGATAAAACACCTAGCATTACGACGCGCCGGGTGCAGCTGGGCGCCTACACTTCGAGAACAAGTCAGCCAAATTGTCTGATGGTAGCGTTTCGTTCACTATCGTTAAATCTCACTGCATTCGGCGTACCAAAAGAAAAAGAAGAAGAATGTTGAGCATGAGACTTCGATTTTAGAAAACCAAAAGTTGAGATGCGGCGGTCGAGTTGAGCTCTACAAAAAAAAACAGACTACGGAATCAATCCTTGGCCACTCTCAAAGGCACTTTCCTCGCTGGTTAACCTGCCAGTGTCGTGGCCGTCCTTCCTCGCACCTCAACTTCACATAGTTCCGTTTGCGAGTTCTGCAGGCCGTGGCTAGACGCCAGCCATCTCCGGCTTTCCAAGCCGTGGCAGGGCGAGCCACGCCCGACCCTCCGGACACCTCCGGCTCTTGCCGCAGCTTACTGACTTTGCACACGCTCATGCTCGCCGTCCACAGTTTCCAGCCGCGGCCGGTCCTACGCCTAACCCTCCCCACTGATCAAAAACAGATCCATCATGACCTTTGACGTACGTCTGCGGTCGTGGCGCGGTTCACACCTCCACTCCTTGACCTTGAGCAGGTCCATCATGACCTTTGACCCGCGCATGCCGTCGCGGCGCGGTCCACAATCGATCCCCTGACCTCGAGCAGACCCATCATGACATTTGACCCCAGTCTGTCGTGGCGGCGCCGTTCGCGCCAGCTCGCCGCCGCCCTGACCTTGAGCAGGCTCTGCGGGATGATCTCGGTGAAGCCCTTCTGCAGACTGAGGAACTGCTGCTCGATGCCCTCCATGAAGCGCAGCTGGACGTACAGTTTGACGTACTCGCGCTTCGTCTCGTCAGTGACGTGCAGCTCCCGGCCGCCTGGCCGGCGCCCGGAGACAGGTCAGCCGGGCACACAGACAGTACATGGCACAGCGAGACAGAACAGGGGAATAGAGCGGGCAGACAGACAGTGTGTGGCGCAACGAGAAAGGTCAGGGGAAGACAGCGGAAAGACATACAGCGAACGGAGCAACGAGACACTTCAGGGGAAGACAGCGGGAGGACAGAATATGGGCGGTACGAGGCCGGTCCCGGGAAGTCAGCGGGAAGACAAGGCAGAGGACGGCACAACGATGCAGGTCAGCCCCTGCCGCTGTGTCCACCAGTCCCTGACCCGACCCCTGCCGCTGTGTCCACCAGTCCCTGACCCAATCCCTGCCGCTGTGTCCACTAGTCCCTGACCCAACCCCTGCCGCTGTGACCACCAATCCCTGACCCAACCCCTGCCGCGGTGTCCACCAGTCCCTGACCCGACCCCTGCCACTGTCTCCACCAGTCCCTGACCCGACCCCTGCCGCTGTCTCCACCAGTCCCTGACCCAACCCCTGCCACTGTCTCCACCAGTCCCTGACCCGACCCCTGCCGCTGTCTCCACCAGTCCCTGACCAGACCCCTGCCGCTGTGTTCGCCAGTCCCTGACCCGACCGCTGCCGCTGTGTCCACCAGTCCCTGCCCCGACCGCTGCCGCTGTCTCCACCAGTCCCTGACCCGACCCCAGCCGCTGTCTCCACCAGTCCCTGACCCAACCCTGGCCGCTGCCTCACCGGGCTTGAGATCGCGCACGGTGATGTGGCCGTAGTTGTCGTGCTCCACGCTGAACGTTGTGTCGATGACGCCCTCGATGTCGTTCTCCCTGCGCGGACACCGGAGCCGGTCAGAGCAAGCCCATCGGAGGCGCCGCAAACAGATCAGCGGCGTCGCACCGCAGCGGCGCGCGGCGGAGTTCACGGACCTCCACTGGAGGCACCGCAGCCCGGCCGCGCCCACGGCATCCAGCTGGGAGCGAACTCTGCCGGCCTACGCTGACGGCATCCAGCTGGGAGCGAACTCTGCCGGTCTACGCTGACGGCATCCAGCTGGGAGCGAACTCTGCCGGCCTACGCTGACGGCATCCAGCTGGGAGCGAACTCTGACAGCCTACGCTGACGGCATCCAGCTGGGAGCGAACTCTGCCGGCCTACGCTGACGGCATCCAGCTGGGAGCGAACTCTGCCGGTCTACGCTGACGGCATCCAGCTGGGAGCGAACTCTGCCGGCCTACGCTGACGGCATCCAGCTGGGAGCGAACTCTGCCGGTCTACGCTGACGGCATCCAGCTGGGAGCGAACTCTGCCGGCCTACGCTGACGGCATCCAGCTGGGAGCGAACTCTGCCGGCCTACGCTGACGGCATCCAGCTGGGAGCGAACTCTGCCGGCCTACGCTGACGGCATCCAGCTGGGAGCGAACTCTGCCGGCCTACGCTGACGGCATCCAGCTGGGAGCGAACTCTGCCGGCCTACGCTGACGGCATCCAGCTGGGATGACCGCTCTCGTCTGAGGTTCGTACAGCCTGTTGTGACGTCTGTTTCATGAGTCTGGGCTAGTAAAGGCCACGTGTGACCACAGTCAACAGGTCAAGTTAGACCCTACGCGCGAGCTTCCGCAGGACACGCAGCTAAACGCCACGCGGCTGGATCGATACCACTCAGGAAGCGCCAGAACACGTCCGTACGGACGGCCACTGGGAGCCTTCATCGTCATCGGGCTTTACAACACACTCAGCAGCTAGGACTGCACAGCATCGCCCTCCCCTCGTTCTGGCAGCAGGCTGGTTCTCCAGAAGCACGGCTCAAACACCACACCATCGGCGCCCCGATGGGAGCCTTGCCCACAGCACAGCACGTCACCGAGCGCAGACCCGACCGCATCTGCAGCGCCGCCCTCCGAACTCACAGAATCCAGGTGAGACTGCGGTGCAGGTCCGGATCGACCAGCTCGATGTCCGGCAGCGAGATGGGCTTGTTGAGCAGCATCTTGTAGAAGGGCATGGCGAAGCCGCCGTCGATGTAGTGGCCGTGGAACACCGCCATGCCGATCACGCGGCCCACGAAGTGGAAGTACGAGAGGTGCTCCTGCGGGCGGATGGCGCGTGCGACCATCAGCGGCGCGCTCGTCCAGCGCGGCCCGGCCAGGTGGCGCTAAACAGACAGCATTCCAAGCAGTGCCACCACCCCTGTGGACAGTGCCACTACCCTCGTGGACTTGGACCGGCGCGTCTAGCGCGCGGGACACTACCGCGCCTCTAGCTCTGTCAGCAACAAGTCTCCGCGTACGTGGTGAGCGCTGAGGGGGCGACTGTCGGCGTAAGCCGCGCTCACGCTCTTGTATGGACACGGTCCTGGCGCTGAACACGAGCCGGCCGGGGACCTTGGGACCACAGGGGACCGGCACCGTGCGGACCCACGCCCAAGACCACCGCCGGGACCGTCCCCCGGAGGCCAGCGAGGTCGAGACACTGCAGCACCGGGGCGAGCCGCGCCATAAGCCGGAGAGCCGGGCCTCCTCGACGGCAGGGGACAGCACCTCGCGGAACACGCCACATCGCGCCGGACTCTTTCCTCGACCTTCGCCGCTCTCTCCCCGGCCCTTGCCGCTCCCCCCACCCCCATCCCTCGCCGCTCTCTCCCCGACGCCGCGCCGCCCTCACCGGGTTCACATCGGAGTTGGCGTTGATCTGCAGCGTGTAGATGTCGTCACGACTGTACTGGAACAGGCCGTAGTAGGGGGTTGAGCATCTCGTGCGAGAGCAAGTACAGCCACTCGCGCGCCACGCCGCCGTAGTCGAGACCCTCCTCGCCGCGGAACTTCACCATCAGCCGCTTCCGCAGGTCCTTCGGTGACTTCTTCATCACCAGACGGTACGACTCCTGCGAGACCGGGAGCGGTGGGCGGGGTCAGCGCGTGGCGGACGGCGGTGGGTCATGGCAGCCACCGAGCTGGCACGCGTGAGCGCCCCATCGCTCAAAAAGCGCACCAAGCATCTGTTGCGCACCGCCCCAAACCCCGCACCAACTCCGAACCCCGCTTGCCAACGCAATCCCACCGGAGCCGACGCTCCGAAAGGCATGGCAACCGGCGCCGGTGCGGAGCACACAATACTGCGCATCGCCGGGTGGGTGACGAGGTACGCCCCGACATCTCCAGTCGCCAACACCTCTCCCCAACCGCAATCGCCAGACCTGCGCCGCAGCCCCAAGAAACCAGCCGGCACCGCACGGCACAGCACGGCACCGCACGGCGCGGCATGGCGCGGCACGGCACGGCTCGGCACGGCACGGCAGGGCTCGGCACAGCACGGCACGACACGGCACGACACGGCACGGCACAGCACAGCATGGCACGGTACGGCTCGGCTCGGCACGGCACGGCACGGCACGGCACGGCTCTGCACGGCACGGCACGGCACGGCGTCCTGATCGGCGCCGCCGCCGGCAGCCGGACACCCGACTCACCTCGAACACCTCGTCGCGGCCGACCTCGAGCCGGCAATGGCCCGACTGGGGCTGCAGCGTGCCCAGCTCGGCCCGCAGCACCTTCATCTTGGCCACCAGGTCGCGCCGGTACTTGGGCAAGATCTCCTGTCGACGGCGCGGTCAGCATCAGTGCCCGGCCGAAGGACACGGTCCGGGACAGGCGCCGACCGCCGGCTGTCACTCGGCCGGCGCAGGATACAGCGACGCGCCGAGGCACCCAGAACGCGACGAGCGCTCACCGGCCCGAACCAGATCGCGGCTTGAGCATATCTGAACGCGGCTACATCTGGCCAGCAATGATCCCCAAGCATCCTCGCAACATGCGGGGATCACTTCCCACATGCCGCTGTTGTTGGCTGGGCTTTTTGGGCGCGGTCAGGTCATGGCCCACCGCAAACGTCAACAACGGGGACTCGTCGGCGTGTGTCCGTACCGGCTGCACATCCATCGGACCGACCCTGCACTGTGCCACTGGGACGCTGACACCGCCGACGCGTTCCCTCCCTCGGACACACACAGTCCAGCAGACCCCGAGCAGCCGCCGTCCGCCGCCGGGCGTCCGCCAGCGCCGCCGGCCCTGCTCACCTGCGCCGCCCAGCCCACCTCTCCCGGCCCTGCTCACCTGCGCCGCCCAGCCCACCTCTCCCGGCCCTGCTCACCTGCGCCGCCCAGCCCACCTCTCCCGGCCCTGCTCATCGCGCCGCCCGCCCACCTCTCCCGGCCCTGCTCACCTGCGCCGCCCGGCCCATCTCCCGGCCTGCTCACCTGCGCCGCCCAGCCCACCTCTCCCGGCCCTGCTCACCGCGCCGCCCAGCCCACCTCTCCCGCCCTGCTCACCTGCGCCGCCCAGCCCCCCTCTCCCGGCCCTGCTCACCTGCGCCGCCCGGCCCACCTCTCCGGCCCTGCTCACCTGCGCCGCCCAGCCCACCTCTCCGGCCCTGCTCACCTGCGCCGCCCAGCCCACCTCTCCCGGCCCTGCTCACCTGCGCCGCCGGCCCACCTCTCCCCCCGCTCCCTGCCCGCCGCCCGGCCCACCTCTCCCGGCCCTGCTCACCTGCGCGCCCGGCCCACCCTCCCGCCCTGCTCACCTGCGCCGCCCGGCCCACCTCTCCCGGCCCTGCTCACCTGCGCCGCTCCCGTGTCGAGTCCCGCCGCGCCGCCGGCGGCCGGCCCGGACTGCGCCGGCGCGGCCGCCGGCGCCGGCGGCGGGTTGCGCGCCGGCAGCGGCGGCGGCGCCGGCGCCGGACTGGCCGCGGCCGGCGACGCGCGCCCGGCCGGCCCGCTCGGCAGCGTGGAGTACGGCGGCGAGACGGCCGAAGGGTCGGCCGAAGCGTCCTGCGGGCGGCGGCGAGACGGCGTCAGGCCGGGCGGGGCACACGTCCACACAGCAGCCACGGCGGTCGAGGCGAGACCGGGCGCGGTCCGCCGTCGCCGAGACCCGAGCCTGTTCCCACACACAAGCCCGTTTACACCGTCGTCACCTTGGAAGGCGAGAATCGCACAGCATTCCCGCAAACACCAGCAGCGCAACAAGTACCCTCCCACCGCACGCGAGCACCGTCCGTCTTCCGCACTCGGTCACAAAAAACACAAACAAACCACCTGAGAGCGACCATCAGACCGCGAGCGCGTGCGCGACTGTCGAGCGCGCGCGTGCCACGCCCGTCCGAGCGCCGCACCGGGGCCGGCGGCCGTGTGACCCACCTGCGCGGCCGGGTCCTCGATCACGCGCGAGTGCCGGGCGGAGGTGAGGCGAGGGTCGGCGAACTGGGTCGTCCTGTGGGAACGGCCGCACGCTCAGCAGGGAGGCGCGGCGGTCGGCGACGGCTGACGCGCCACCACCGCCGGCCGCCGGTGGTGGCGCGCCAGCCGCGACAGGCCGCGCTGCTCGGTGAGTTAGCGACGCGCGTGGTAATGCCTGAAGCCGTTGGCGCCAACGTCATGGCGCCAACGGTGGGGCGTGAGGTCTGGCGCCGGTGAGAATCTCGCCCATATGATTCGATCTGGACTCGCTCAGCGCCGCCACGTGAAAGCGTTTGACCGGTTTTTCCGTGCCATTGGCAACACGAGGTCACCATGCGTTGACCAGGAAAGCCTGCTGTGAAATGGTGGACACGCACGGTCGGACGCAGGCGGGACGGGCGCGAACATCGGTCCGCAATATCCAGTGAAGCAGCAGAGCAATGTAGCGGGAAAAAGCTCGTCCCAGAAAAGATTCTTCAGTTCTCTGCACGCGAGCACCGCAGGAGCTGGTTGTGGTTAGCCACGAATCTCACTGAGCGAGCACCCCAGTCATCGTAACGTGCGCACCGCCCCAGCCACACACCAGTGGTCGGCCCCGCTCGCCGCAACGCGTAAGCAGTCGTTAGGTGCGGCCCGGGCACTGTCGGTATCGTGCGCAACCCATGGGAAAAACATCAGCCTATCTGTGCAACCACCGCCCACTGCACGCACCGCAGTCACCACGCTTCACAACATCTAGCTTCCCACATGGGGAGCCACACTCGACCACCTCGTCGGCTTTGCCAGCGAACAGACGGCCGGCGAACGCGACGACTTCCCCCGCACGTGGCCAGCCCCCGCTCCACCACCGGCGCCCACCTGCTGACGTGATCGTGATCGTGATCCACCCACCTGTTGACGTGATCGTGATCGTGATCCACCCACCTGTTGACGTGATCGTGATCCGCTCACCTGTTGACGTGATCGTGATCCGCTCACCTGTTGACGTGATCGTGATCCGCTCACCCGTTGACGTGATCATGATCGTGGTCCACCCATCCGTTGACGTGATCGTGATCGTGATCCACCACCTGTTGACGTGATCGTGATCCACCCACCTGTCGACGTGATCATGATCGTGATCCACCCATCTGTTGATATGATCGTGATCCACCCACCTGTTGACGTGATCGTGATCCATCCACCTGTTGACGTGATCATGATCGTGATCCACCCACCTGTTGACGTGATCGTGATCGTGATCCACCCACCCTGTTGACGTGATCATGATCGTGATCCACCTACCTGTTGACGTGATCATGATCGTGATCCACCCACCTGTTGACGTGATCGTGATCGTGATCCACCCACCTGTTTGACGTGATCGTGATTGTGATCCACCCACCTGTTGACGTGATCATGATCGTGATCCACCCACCCGTTGTGATCGCGATCGTGATCCACCCACCTGTTGACGTGATCGTGATCGTGGTCCACCCCCTGTTGACGTGATCGACGAAGTAGACGCGGCCGGAGTCGGTGAGCCGCATCTCCCAGCCGGCCGGCAGCGGGCTGGGCTCGGCCGGCGGCGGCTGGGCGTCGCGCGGCAGGCGCGGGTCGTGCCACGTGGCGCGGCCCGACGGCACGTGCCAGTAGTACACCTGGCCGCGTGACGTGGTGCGGATCTCGTACCTGCCGCCAGCGGCCAGCCGGCCGGCCGTCAGGTGGGTGGGCGTGGGCGGGGGCAGCGCTGACGGAGGTGCAGCGGCGGCGGGCGCGTATCTCGGCACTGGCGCGCGGTCAGACGCTGAGACAGCGTGAGTCATTGCGGTGGGGAGATCGCAATGAAATGGTTAAACCTCGGGCGATATTCTGACTTTTTCATCGAGCACGTGACTGTTATGTGCACTCACGCGACCAGCTGTAGCGTGAGATGCGTGAGCACTGTAGGCTGTGAGCAACGAAGTCGTGACCTTGCAGCCATCAGTTCCACACTTTACCTCCGAGGTACGAAACCGTATCATTTCAATCTCCGTCGCCCCAGCGCACGCAGACATCGCCCGACAAAACCACCGGCCTCCTCCCCACCCCTGGCCATATGTGCTCACCATCCTTCTTCCCATTTCCAGGCGACAACCCGGAGAATGGAAAGAGGAGAAGCGCTGGCCTCACTCCCTTCGCGCGTGCCCTGCCTCGCCGCCGCCGGCGCCCCGGGCGGCCGCGCCGCTCCTCACCCGTCGGGTAGGTCGTCGGGCTGGTGCAGCTGGTTGCGGCTCAGGTAGAGCTGGTGGCGACGGCGCTGCGAGCGCCGCTCTCCGCCGGCCGACGCGGCGGGCACTCGCCCTCTCCCTCCAGCGGGGCCGGCCGGCTCGGCGTCCTCGCCAGCCACCGTCAACCGCCGCCGCCGCCGCCGCCGGCAGCGGGCGCCGGCAGCAGCGCCGCGTCCAGCGCCGGCCGCTCGGGGCCGCTCCCACTGCGTGCTGCGCGTCACGTGGTTGACGTAGTAGAGCCGGGCCGTTGGGGGCGCAGCGCTCCTCCCAGCCCTCGGCCAGCTCGTCCTGCGAGGGGGGGAGGAGGGAGGCGCCGGTGAGGCGGTCGGCCGGCATAGGCGCCCGGCCGTGCTGTCCCAGAACGACAGCCACGCGGTGGGAGCGGTCGGCTGTTTATCCCACGGGAGCGGGCCGGACTTAACACGCCAGGGCGATCAACGGGAGCAGCACACGCCAGAGCGGTCCCCGAACAACAACTCACAAAGAAGGCATCCGACACCAACACAAGGTCACTTTAAGTGGGAACACTTACAACCACCAGTCAGACATGAGCTCTGTAAGCAAGTGCACCTTGCAACTGCAACGCTTCACAACCAACCCAGTCTATACGCAACGCGCAACACGTGGAACAAGGCGACCCACCCGATAAATTTGCAATTTCAAACAAAAGGAACATGTCAAAACAAAAGGAGCCAGAAACAAAAGGCACGGCACAGGTCAGGGAACGTAAAAACAAGCCCCCGGTTCGGATAAAGAGCAAAGAACCCTCCCGACCAGGTGCTATCTCCAGCGGCGGCGGAGGCGCCAGGGCCGGCCCCGCTCATCGTCGCGCCGCGCCCCACCTGCACGGAGAGGGCGCTGATCATGCCTGCGTGTTGACCACCACGTTGTGACTGCTGCCGTTGCCGCCGTGGCCATCGCGGGAAAGCAGCGACAGGATGATCTTGCCGCGCACGAACTCGGCGTCCATCGCGCTCGACTTGCACAGGTCCAGCTGCTGGTCTGTGGGTCACGGCAGAAGTCAGAAGTCCCAGCTGGTAGTCTGTGGGACACGGCAAAGGTCAAAAGTCCAGTTGGTGGTCTGAAGGACACGGCGGAGGTCAAGAGTCCAGCTGGTGGTCTGAGGGACACGGCAGACATCAGGAGTCTAGCTGTTGGTCACACAGCGCAGCGCATACTTCACACGCCCCGCACCGGCCACGCAAGCACCCGCCCACACCAGCCCGCCGCCAGGACTGTGGACCCAGGGAGGATGGGCCTCCGCCGCCCGCATCGCGCGCCACGTCGGGAAAACCACGCCGGGCGCCCGCAGCGGGCGTGGCTGAGCGGCGGCGCTCGCAAGCGGCTGTGCAGGCGCGCGCGCGCGGCGCCGCCGGCGGGCCGGCCGCCGGCGATGACGTACTCACCCGCCCGCGGCCGTCGCCCCCGTCGGATCGGCATCACACGTGCTGGCGGTTACACCGGGACCGCCCGGCGCCCGGCACCGCTCAGCGCGAGCGAGCGCGTGACGGCCGTCTCCCCGCGGCTAATGCTGGATATTAAAACAGCCACACGGCGCCGGATAATGTTCGGGACGGCGCCGGCGTCGCGTCCGGCGCCACGCGAGCAACACAGGCCGAACACACCGCCGGTGAATGGCGGACGCCACGGAGCGAGAACTCGCGGGAGACCACACCGGATCGCCGCGTCGCACAGCATCGCCCCCGTCCAAGGCACAGGCACAGCGCCGCCGCTGCCGCCCCTGCCGCTGGGAGACTGCGCATGCACGACCAGCTCAAGCGCGGTAGAAAGTTATGACAGCGAAAGAGGCCGAGCGGCAAAAACCCAGCTCAAAATCGCTTTTAACCCTCTCTGAACCGGCTTCTTGGAAGCTGTGTCGGCCCAGTGGGAGCTAAGCTGGTTAAGCCGGTCAAGTTCCGTAAGCAGGCCGCGCGCAGGGGTCAGTGATAGCGTCAGTGCTATTTCGGCGCCACCGCCGTCAGTAGTGCCGGTACCGCACAATCTATGGGGTGTCAGTCAGCACAGCGAGCTCTGCTTGATCGTCTGCGCGCGCCGTTGCCTGGGGTCTCAGCACAGCGCGCGGCGGATCCAGCCGGGCGGCAGCGCCGGCCATCGCGTCAGAACGAGTCCGCGGTAAGGACGGAGCTCGAGCGCCGGCAACGATCGGTGTCCACAGCGTCGGTCCGCTGGAGCGTCAGCGTGCGGGTGCGCGCTGGCCCCGCCCTACTACGCCATATCCTACCGCCACCGTGTCGTGGACACGCAGGGCCAGCCGGCTCATCCCGGGCCGGCGCCGCGTAGCGACGATCGACAGCCGCGTTGCAGGGGTCGCGCGGGCGAGACCCTCAGGCGCGTCAGCACGTGTCATTGGCATTTGGCCGGAGGAGTGGAGCCCGCGCCAGCCGCGCTCCCGTCTGCGCCCGGCCGGGGCAGGCGGCCTCGCAGCGGTCGCTAACGAGCCACCGCGATGCCCGCTCCCTGGCACAGCGTAGCCTCTAACGTAGCCGACACCTGATGTCACCCGCAGACAACCTAACCCGAAGTCAGCGTAACGGAATTTAAGAAAACCGAGTGTGCATTGAGAGTGAGTGTTTCGGAGATATTTGACAGCCAGGCCGCTGGCCTAGTGATATTGGCCTAATGCATGACAAAAAGCGTGCCTGGCCCATACAATGCATGCCATAAGTAGCTCATTTGATTGCACGCTGCGTAATGAACGTCTCCTCAAATCTGTGAGCAGCAATCTTTCACTTTACGCATGGCAGCCAACCTATCAGTTCGAACGGTCAGACGACCTTGCCACAAAGCTGGCGACCAGGTTTTGTAGCTCCTCACAGCCTCCGGCGCTTATCTGATATCTCAGAAGCAATCGCATGGGCCTCCGTAAGGTCAATTTGCGTCTACAGCTAGCTGTCATCCACTCGGTGCGGATAACACACCACCGTGGATCCTACCGCCGTGGACAATCCAAAAAGTTCGACTCTCTCAGGCGTCGTCTCGACCCGACCCGTCGCGACCACTTATCGAAGGCCGCCCCAATTAACGGCAAAGTTCATCTTTAAGGACGGGAATGGCTGGATCACACGTTAACCTGTAGGAACTCGGAGAAGAAGCACGATGTGCACCCTGACCCCCTCTCTACAGAGCCGGTGCCCGTGCGTCGCTTGTGCGTGACCTGGCCTTGGCCCCGCGCAAGCGTCACTTCTCGTCCCGCTCTAAGGGAAGACGAAGGTCATGTGTGTAACCTTGGCTTCACCTCCCGCAGCTTGCTATCTGACGATGGAGTCCAACTGCGCTGTCGCCTCGCATATGTGTGAATTCCATTGTCTGCACACGGATACTAGCCCAGCACGGAGAGAAAGTGGTCACGCGCATTTTGTCGTCCGTTTAACAGCTTCAGCTAGCTCATTCCCACAGATCCCGAAGTGGCTGGAAATCCAACAATGCATGACCCTTTTAATGATCCTTTCAACTAACCCAACATTTACCCTAACCCAACGTCCGACCAAACCCCCATTTCGATCTAATAGCGCCATAATCTAGACACTAGCCGCGGCCCTCCGGCAGGAGCGGGCTGGACGCGACGTACATCCTGTGTCCTTGAGCTGCTGGATGACGTTGGAGCGGATGCGGACGCAGCCCAGGAAGCCGCCGCCCTGCCGCTTGTGCACCTTGCGGTTGTTCCACACCGAGATGACAATGGTGTCATTCTTGCCGATGTACCTGGAACGGAAGGACACTGTTAGAAACGTCAACAGGAGAAGGGAAACTGCGGAACGGCCGTAGCATCACGACTGTCTGAAGCCCAGGCCGCAGCAGCAGGCCCAGGAACCCGGGTATCCTGCCCCTCCACTCAGTACGGAGCCCGGCCACGCCAGCCGTTCGGAAGTGTTCACCGTGCTTCCAGCTCCTGCCGCCGCCTCCGTGATCGGTGGAGCGACCCTGGACTCATCGTCCATCGGCGCGTGCCACGAGTCCCTGTATTAGTCAGTGTGCGGCCAGAGCGACATGGGGATGTCCACTGGTTAGTGGTCGGAGAGCGCCACGCACCACTCCACCCCCGGGGCGGCCGCGCTGCAGCATTGCACGGCACGTCCAGCACGCCGCAGCCCTACCATACAAAAATGCCGCCCGCAAAATCATTCGGCGAAATGAAACCGGTTGGCGGTTAATGGAACACGGAGCATGTCCTGCTTGGCAAAGGGTCTGAGCCCGAGACTACCCACGCGTGCAGTTACTAGCCCCGAGCTCGGCGTGCCGACCAGCCGCACCCGCTCTGCTCCCGTCCGCAGCAACATCGGCGCGAGCTGCGTCGGCCCCGGCCGCTCGTCCCGGGCCAGGCCGACGCAGCCGCCGCGACCGCCCAGAGCCGGTCACTGGTCCCGGCCGGCACGCGGTCCGTGTCACCACGAGCTCCTAATGCGCGAAACGGATCTCCTGACGATAACCGGTCGCTATAAATTCCCTGTCACGTGTGTGGTGGTCGGCAGCGTCTTGACATCCTGCCGATAGCATTCGCCTCTGCCACTTCCGGCTCGAAATCGACGGGGTGAACAACCGGGCTATCAGCATACCCTGTGTAATTGCCGGAGGCTTGTACACAGAAGCCGACAATTAGAGCGGCTTGAATCACCGACAATCAAAGAGAAAGCTCGAAATAATGAGGAAGACGGGGACATGGGCCCCGACGCGGCGGCCGCGGGAAGGCAGCCCACGAGCAAGCAAACCACCGTTCAAGCGGCGGGTGACGGGCTGAGCGCTCAAAGCACTCCTCGCACTCGTGCCGATAACCGAAGACACCACGACAACCTCCTGCTACACGCTACATCCTACCCACTACACTACGGGTAGAGTGTAGCGCACGGCACCAACGAAGGTGGGGGTGGACACTGCCGGCGACACGTCACGAACCCTGCGGCGTCTCCATCACCCAGACGATGCGTTGGCCCGCCCCCGAGCGGCCCGGGCGCAGCCTGAGCAGCCCTCCCGGTCAGAGCTCGGTCACGCAGCCGAGGCGGCTCGCCGGCGCCGCCGCGGCCCCCCACGTGCCGGCGCTTCCGGTGCGGGCGGCCCCAGCTGTCCGCACGAGCATTCCGGCGAAGCCGCCGGCTGCCCGGCCGTTCCTCTCCCCCCCCCCCCCCGCCCCTCTCCACAGGCGACTGTGAGCATGCCCCCACTGGCACAAGGCGTCACCCGCAGGCGGGACACCGCGCGCACCTACCGTGACGTGACGCGACGCTGGTAAAACGGCTGACGGTGCTTCCCGGCGCCGAGCGGGCCGGGTTAAAATGGCCAACGTACTTACGGTGCTCAATGGTGGGAACAGCCGGCGCCTCCGCTACGCCCACGCACGGGACGGAGGACACGGATGGGGATGGAGATGGGGATGGGGATGGGGATGGGTGGGGATGGGGATGGGGAGGGGAAGGGGATGGGGACGGGGATAGGGATGGGGATGGGGAGATGGGGACGGGGACGGGGACGGGGACGGGGACGGGGACGGGGACGGGGACGGGGGCGGGGACGGGGGAACGGGGGACGGAGACGAGCCGCCGCGGACCTATCTGAGAGCGCGCCCGACGGGGATGATGACGTCACACGAAGGGACATGGCGACGGGGGTGGTGGGGGAAGGGGGGGGGGGGAAAACGGCCGGCCGCCATAACAGCGCGACAGACAGCGAGCGAGCTAACGTCAGAGCCGCGATGTGACGAGGCCTTGTCTGCCCCGATCGGCCAGGCGCATCGATAGCGCCGTCTACACGGGGCGCAAGGTCGACCTGGCTGGATACGGTCGAGTATTCGGCGTGGCGCCACACGCGAACAAGATGCTGGCAGCGCGCTGACGGACCGCCGTTCAGCGCATAAAAGCGGCTCAGATTATGGGTGCTGCGTCCGGGCGGAGCAGACGATGGCGCGCGCGATACACGGCCACACAAATGCTGAAGACCTGAACCGACGACAGGGCGCTGCCGCGGTGCCCCGACAGGACGCCGTCCCTCAGCCTGAGATCGCCGACGCATCCCGGGTTAGACGGTCTCAGACCCAGTCCACGGCGGCAGGTGATTCCCCCGCTCTGGGCGACAGCTCACAAGACGAGCATCGCCGCGATGGCCCGGCTCCACGCCCCACCCGCTCAAACCCACCGCGTCGACGCCGGTGAGCCCCGCCCCACCGGTAACACCCACACCGTCCGCCACCGCCGCCGAGCGTCTGCGCTTGATGGCGCGTCACCGGCCGCCGTGGCGTGAGACCGGCTCCGCCGCCCGTCCCGGACGCTCGCGGCGCGTCGGCGATCTACACAGGTGACCGACGGCGGGCCGGGACCAGGGTCACCCCCCGCAGCGAACGCCCCCGGCTCAGCCGCTGGCGGCCGTCAACGGCAGGGGGTCAGCGGCGGTCAGCCGATCGTCAGCCGCCGCTGATATCGTCCCCTACCCCCCCCCCCCCTTTATTCGTCTCGTCGGGCGCGCATTCCACGTCGTATCAACCGTCGGCCAGCGGCGTCGCCAGCGAGGGCGGCGCGAGCACGCGGTCACGGGCGTCACCAGCCAGGGGGGGGGGGGGGGGCGGCGGCGTCCATCGCCCGTTCCAGGGGCCGTTCACGCGCGCCTCCCGCAGCCGCCGCCGCGGTACAGGTCATGACGAGCCGGCTTCAGGAGCCGCACGGCGCACACAGGAGGGACGGCGGCGCGCCACGTCAACAGGTCCCAGCGAGCCACCGGCCAGCCGTCCACACAGGCCAGCACGGTCCGGCGGGCGTCATGCATGCCTGCCACCAGTTTGCATCGCCCGTCGGGCCGACGCAGGCAGCGATCTGCAAGTGCAGCCACCTACGGCGCTTTGCAGCGTTCTGAGAATAACGGTGCAACGGTGCGCCGCCGGCTCGCGCTGAGAACAAGAACAGTAACCGCCGGCGCGCGCTGAGAACAAGAACAGCAACCGCCGCGCCCGGCGGCGGCGAGGCCATCTACACAGGCCCACGGCCGCGGCCAAGTTCTGGAGTCGGGCGTACCACGTCCGGTGGTCTACCGGCTGCATGCCGCGGCCTTCGCCTACAACCCGTGTCTTTCGCTGCCCTCGACCCGCCGCACACGGCTGCGGCGGTGCGACAAGGGCGTCACCCTGGCGGCCTAATCCGGGCAGCGCACGACACTGCGTAGGAGTATGCTGTACGCCGCGCAGGAGGCACCTCGGCTCAGGGTCACGTTAAGACCGCTCATATGATTCGTCCGTGACGTGTCGGCTGGTAGCTGGCCGGGAGGGTCACGCTGGCTCGGAGCAAGCCGCGTCATGAGAGTTCGTTGTACGTTAATTTCTTTCTCGGCCGTAACCGTACATTGGACCGGAATTGCTTCAGCGGGGCCGTGGGCTTGGGCCTTGGGAACAAAGCATGCCAACCTAGCACGGAGCCCACGTCCTGAGACTGCCCAGCAAATACTATATATATATATATATATATATATATATATATATATATATATATATATATATTATACATATATATATAAATATATATATACATAGATATATATATATATATAAATATATATATATATATATATATATTATATATAATATATATATATATATTAATATATAGTGTGTGTGTGTGTATATGTGTGGTCGAACACACCAAACTGCCACGCACAGCATCGTTACGGTTAGGGAATCAGCAACAACCAAAGGTCTTTCAAGCGTTGAAGCTTCAACCAGGTTGCCATCACCCTCAAAAGAACCCCCCCCCCCCCCCCCCGCAACGGCACCAGGGCGATCATCATGACCCGGCCGCTGGCCCAACGGGCCCATGCGAGCGACGCAGGCGCCCAGCGGCACGGCAGTGTCATCACCGCATAGAGCCTGTCCTCTCCTGCGGCGGCTCGTCTGACTCGCTCGGGCCGAACCGGCGCTTCGCCACCGCCGCGCCGGCACCGAGCTCGGTCCGAGTGCCGCGGGACGCCCCCGGGCGGCTCGTCCCGCGCCGCCGCCGTCGCGTCAGGGGAGATGGGCAGCCGCCAGCCCGGCGGGCGGCTCGCTGCCGGCCGGCCAGCCGCGCCAGCGCCGGCGGCGGCGGCGGTGGGGGCGGCCCCGACCGCAGCCCAGACGGGCGGCGCCGGCCGGGTCAGAGCGACGCCCGTCGCCGCTTCAGGGGGCGCGGTGCCGGTCAGGCGGCCGCCTCCCGCCGCCCGTTTCCGGCGCTGGACGCCGCAGCAGGGAGAGCGCCCGATGCGCACGAGCCACGAGTCCCTAGGACCGGCACATGTTTCTCCGGCGATGTCACGATAATCGCCGCTCGGGGGATGTGGCGTCGCTGCCCGCGTCAAGCATGAGCAGTATTCCGTATTAGCATTCAGAATTTGGCCACTTGGGTGGCAGTTATTTCGTATTTGTATTCGGCCACTTGGGTGGTAAGGATGCCGATATTTGTGCTATGCTATTTCACCTCCTGTTTGGGGAATCACTGCTTCCTGCCACCCCCCTCCCGCTACAATCGGCCAGTCAGCATCGAACCGGGCGGCAGGACTTGACAATGGGCGGGGCAGATCAGATGTCTGGGTTCGGGGTCAAAGGGCAACGGATTAGCCCAACCAATTGCGTGCGGAGGCCGCGGGAGACACGCGCTTCTGGTGGCACGATTTCATATCTACATCCTGCACACCCTACCGGGATTAATTTTGAGACGTTTCTGATTAATTTGAAACGTGCGCATTGACGTATTGTACGGCAGGCAAAGACAACCGCAAACAAAATAACTACACTTGGCACTTAACCTTCTAGCTTGTCGCACGCGACATTGGGCCAAGGTCTCATCAGCAGCGGAAGCGCACTTCCAGCCATGGGACATCGGGGGGGGGGGGGGGGGGGGGGAGGCGCCTGCTGCCGACAAAACGATGTCACGTGCTGAGTCATTGTGCGGCGGTCGCGCCGACAAACGCCTCGGTGGCCGCGGAGGCAGCCAAACGCCCTCGGCGCCGTCCGATAACGGCGCGCCCCGGCCCCGGCCCCGCACGGCGAGCCGCTTCAGCCGGCTAACCGCTGCCCACTGGGATAAGCCAAGGGCGCTGATGCAATCCAGCCAGAGCACGGGCCGGCGCCGCCAGAGATGACCGGAGGCCCGTCTCTGGCGGCCGGGCGGCGCGTTGACACGGACGGGGCTTCCGCCGCCGCCACCTCCGGGCTCCCGGGTCGGAGGGACGCTGATTTGCCGCCAACCCAGCTACGCGCTGACAGCTGGACACACACACATACAGGCACGCGGGGATGCGGAGTGGCTGCGGGGACCGAGGGGACCAGTGCCATCCCGTGCCGTGCATTGCCAGTGCCCACACCGGCCGCTTTGGAGCGCGGGTGACGACCCCAAGCATCTGGGCAGCTGGGCCGAGGGCCAGTAAATTGCTATGAATCTGACGGTTCAAAACTAAGCGACTGCCCAAGCGCAACAGCGCGGTGTCCCCGACAATGGGGACGGACAAAGCGGACATGTCACGGCCGAGTGCGAAAGCCGTGGTCTCCGATCGTACCCCATCGTCTATCGCGGCCGTTTCCAGTGGCCACTGATACAGATTTGGCAACCATCACCTTCTGACTGAGAACACATCCACTGAGGAGTCCGCAGCATGTTCGGCGATCACGGTACGAAACGCATCGATCAAGGGGCTTGAGCATCCACCGAGCAGCGCTTGACGAAGCCTGGAGGCCACACGAACAAGAGCATGGACGGGCCTCCATCGACATTCCCGCAGCAGCAGGATGCCACACAGCGAACCTCACCCCTGCCCCACGTCCACCTCCCCGAGCAGAGCGACGACAGTTGCCCCAGCCGCGCCCGGCCGAGCAAAGCACACTCACAGGTCGAAGTGCTTGTTCCACTTGGGGCTGAGGGTGGCGTGGCACGGCTCCGTGCAGTGGCACTGGCCCGAGCCATCGACGCTGATCTTGGCGAATGGGTCCGGCAGCCCTGCCGAGCACGAGGCGCGTGCCGTCAGCACACGCGTGGCCGCGTGGCGGCGCCGTTGGCGTTCGCTGGCTGGCTGATGCTGATGCTGATGCTGATGCTGATGCTGATGATAATGATGGCAATTTGGTTTCAAGGCACACCTGCTGTTCTGGTTATATGGTGCTTACTGGTTGCCTCCCAAGAGAGCTGCACAAATGTGGATGACTTTGTGTATGGTTAGAGAAGAACTTTGTTGCTTAGCATGTGACAAGGGAACCCATGCAAATGGGGTTTAAAACTATGACATTCTCAAATGGAGATCTTTTAATCAGATGCAAAATGGTGTTCACCCCATGACTTTGGCATAGGACATGTGTCTGGCACATCCTGAGTGCCACATCAAGAGAGAACATATATAGCAGTGGTACCAGTGCCAAAAAGATAGGAGCAAAACAAGGCTACACATAAGGTTTCACACCAGAACATGCATACTTACTAAAGAAGTCCTTCCGTGACAGATCCTTGGCACACAGGACTGGAACACAGGTTTACAGTTACATGACATGGGTGATAGACAGAAGGCAGCACTTCTGGCCTTGTCCCAACTTAACCATACTTGCTTACCAATCAGATATTTCCAGTGTAATAGTTGGCATGTCCTAATGCATACACATATGTCACAAATCTTGACAATACATCAAGCATGTGGCAAAGTGCCAGGAGGAAACAATCACATCATGTATAATAAAAACAGATAATATAGCCCTGTTCAATGCTTCCTATGAGTCTTTAGCTTAAGACCACTGTGCACTCAATTATGCAGCAAGTATCTCTCACTTGTCAGTCGAATCTTGGAGGTGCCATTCCTCCTGTGCCCACTAGGGGGAGACATTCTTCCCAACAGTTAGTGCTGCACAGATGGGCATCTCACTAATGATACCCTGTAACCACCCCTGCAAGCAAAACACTGCAGTGTCACAGACAGATATCACACAGGCATGACCTTCCATTCAACATGTGCTGATAAGTCAAATTGACAGCTGTGGTATTACTGCTCATATAATACCAAGTTATGTTTTATGGCCTGGCATTAGAGATCATGCTGGTGACATTGGAATAGGACCAGACCATTACCCTGCCATCAAACTGCCTTAGGTATCTCAATTACAGTGTTTTAATTGTACATGCTATCTGACTGTAATGTAATGGCTTATCAGGATAAGCCATAACCTAACCTGACACCTAGACCATGTGACTTAACACCTGATACACAATACTGGTCACATCTATGTTGAAATCTCCAATCACTTATCATCAAAATAAAATGCCCCAACTTGTCTACCTGATCACAGTTTTCCCAAATTCATCATCCACAAACAAGGCACAAACAACTTGAATTTTGACTGCTGGTTCACCTCAACAGTGATGGTAAGATATACTTGCATGTAAATATTCAGTGCAAACTTGAACACACATCTCATTTAATTGCATTTAGTTTAAGTCTGGGACACATTGGTGGAATTTGGTACATAGTTATGGATAATTTTAAATAGAAAATGTACCTATTTGACTGCTTGGCATCAAAATAGCTCACACTAACATCTGGATGGCAACACAAGATGCTACTGACAACCAGAAATGAGCTCAAAACTTCCTGTACACCCCCACTGACAAACACTGTGACAACTTTACTCTTCACTGCTAATGCCCTGAAAATCATCAAACCTTAATGTTTAATAGCTAAGGCATATATTCCTTTGACCTGAAATGAAAATGAGTGCCTATCCCCAAAACTTGTACTCATTTTCCATTCAAGTTGTGTTCTGATTGATCATCAGTGTAACCCAAAAACCTGACATGTGCCCCACATCCAGAACGCATAACCAACTCCCAGCTCATACAGTTCCCAGTCAATTCTGCACGACAGCCTTACCCAGCAAAAGTTTACGCTGTTTAAGTTCACGCATTACACACTACCATGACAGGGGACGATTATTTGCAATGATCAGTTAACCGCATTTCGCGCTCGGGCCTACCGCTCATCCACAGTTACGCGCACCCAAAATTAAAATGTATTCATTCTTTCCGTAATATGCCTAAAATGTTCACCATTTGCCATCGCACACTCAAATAATAATGTTTTGTTAACCTGTCACACCCAAACCTGCCCCACTTTTGGCCGTATCCCAGCGGAGGCTCATGTGGCGCATCTGAGCTGAAAGAGTCAAGCATTTGATAGTGATACAGACACAAAAATGTGGACTTGCACCGAGCCCCGTATGCTTCTTACTAGTTTTGTGTAGTTTCGGAATAAATCATCGGAAATTGATGTTCGGTATTTTTATTATGATTAGTTGCACTAAATCATCCTAAATAGTAGAAGTCTACCTAAAATTTTCAGCTGGTTTCTTTGACAATCCCAGTCGAATACTCGCACCATAAATCGACAACTTACTCTGCTCTATATAATTATTTTTCGGCGCATAGCAAGCAGTCAGAAAACTATAATAAGTGTTACAGACGGTGAAAAAAGCATAAATCAGGAAAATACTAATACAAGGCATCAGCTTAACTAAGAAACCATCCCAACATCTAACAACTTTTAAACATAAATGAAAGACTTGTGAACTGAGACATAAACAAAAGAGACTTGACACAGGTGCGCCGTAATGACTGGTGTGAGGCGAGACGTATCGCCCAATGCAAAGAAAGTGCGTGTATCGCATAGGGAGATACGAACGTTCACAGAGGATTGACACCGTCAAAGACAGCGTGGAAGTGTTTATATTGCCTTCACTTTGAAGAAGAGAGGCCGACAGGCCATCAGGTAGAGAAAAAAAACAGCGAAAAGCTTTTCCTCCCGCAATTTGTGATTTGTGTGCGTGTTCCCGCCCCTGTCTTGTCTCACGATAAACATCGCAGTGATGTTTCATAGCTTACATGGACATTCAACATCTTTTGCAATTGCAGTTTCATTCATGGTCCTGTTTCTTTGCTTGCATGCAGCTTAACCCCAATATCTACTTCAAATGTATCTGCCCAGGTCTATGGAGGTTTTATGACATGCTGTGATTAAAATAAAGTGACAAAAAGAGTTAATGAGCACAAATTTAGCTATAATCTGCAGGATATGTGACATAACCAACCCAAATAAAATGCCTATATTGGGAAAGCACCTAGTTGGAAGTAACATGAAGACTAATCAAACAAATCTTGAAATGGAAGTGAACATAACACATTCAAGGTCAGGGATGCCTGCACTTTATTTGGTGCAAACATACATGTGCATCTCCACAAAAATCTTTGGCACAGGAGTATTGTGAATATGACATATGCCTATGTCACAGTTAGTAGGGACTGAGATGCAATGCTAGACTCTAGTATCTGACTGCATTGAAAGGAAAGAGCCAACTTGCTGTGTAGACATTCACATACTGCTTCTGGTGTGAGTGAGGCCAGCTATATTGCAGTAAGGTTTAGTAGCATCAGCATTGAGTTTTACATCCTCCTCATATGCGGCAGCAAGTCATTCATGAAGACAGGGAACGTCAGGATGCACGGCTTCTGCATGTCCATGCACTGTATTGCTGTGGGACTGAGATTGACTTGGGTCTGTTCATGAGCATGCCGCCCTCTGGATTATGCCACAAAGCTGGGAGACCATTTTCAAAGCAGAGTTTTGTGGTTAGTCTGGACAGATTGTTCCATTCCTAAATTACTGGTGTTATGTTATGGTAAGAACTGGTGTCATGTTCCTAACTTATGCTGTGAGACTTCATTTTTTCTTCAATATCCTGGCTCTCAGTTGGGGTGCCAGTAGTGTAGTGTTATTGTGTCTGCGTTAACTACTGCGCACCTGGGAAACCAGAGGTACAGGGTACAATTCACTGCAGTGCCCGCCCTTCCTGCCGGGGTGAGAGGCAGGCAACACCATATTGCCTCAGCAGCTGAGTGTGTCATAAAGCCCCAATGACACACACACTAGCTCTCAGTTGGTGTAGAATTTTGGTTCTCATGACTAGGCCTTTGTTGAGGTACCTGCAGCTACCCTCCAGGCAACAGTTGTATATAGCCAACCAGTATGCCTCTCCAAAGTTAGCAGTAATTTTATATGACTACTTCTTGTTCTTTGCAAGGCTGCTTGCTCCAGTTCCATTACTTAGTATTCACTGAATGAACCTAGGGTATTGTGCTCACCTTGCTCTGTGTTGCACATGTTGCACATGGCCAGAGCATAGATGGCAGGTACATACCACTCTTTGTCATTTATTAGGCAAAGGATTTCAGTGGTTATAAATGTACTGTGGTGGTCATGAGCCTGCTATGATTTCTCAGTGATAAACCCAGCTACACACATGTTCACCTTGTATATGCTGCATGATGGATCTGTTGTTATTGATCTGATCTTGATCTGTGCTATTGCCACTGATTGGTCTGATCTGAATTGATCATTAATCTGATCTGTTGCCTCACTATTTTCAGAGCCTCTAGCAGGATGGCTGACTCAGAGGGGGCTGAGGGCCCTGAAAGTCCAGTGCAGCCACCCTCCCCAACTGAAGAGATACAGGATGCCCCTGAGTCAGAACTGGAAACAAAGACCAACAGCAAAGGTAGCTGTGACCTTCACTTGTGCTCAGTAGTGATTTGTTTATTGACAGCATGTTGCAACTGTTGACCAGAACATGTTTGCACATGCCAATCCTTGCAAACTGGTTTTAAAATGCTATTGGGTGTGGGTGCTTCCCAACACCAGCGACTGATATCTCAATAAAACAGATCTCAGTTCATTTCATATCTTTGTAATCATACCCAGCTTGCAATGTTGTAGTAGTGTGCAGGGATTGCTATTGCTGGCTGTCATAAGGTGCAGGCATAGGGTTTGGGAACAGCATGGATGTGGTAATGTTGCTTGAGCCTGCCACTGACTGTGGCACAGTTGGCCTGCTGCTGAAGGCAGCTGGAGATGCACCCATCATGAAGCAGAAGTTCTGGATGGTTGATCCCAAGAAGCAGGTGACGTGGGTGGTGCAGTTCATCCGGCGCTACATCCGGATGGACCCGTCAGAGTCCCTGGTGAGTGCCATGGTTGCCTGGTGAGTGTCCTGATGGCCAGGTGTGCTCCATAATGTGCTCCAATGCCATGCCTTGGCACTTTAGGTCACCTTCTGCTGCCAACTGTTTGTCGATTTAGATGGTGAGATCTTCTGTTGTGTTCTTTTTTAGGTATGTTTTATGATGTCGATGAACAGTGTCGTGCAATTCGTTTGAAGCTTTTCCGGTCTATCTCTCGACCTTTACATCTTCCTTGTCTTGGAGACATAGCACCTTCTGTGTTGCCTCAACCACTTGCCATCAGCGGCCGCAACACCGCACCCTGCGCTCATGGCCGGAGCTTCTGGGTTCGAGGCACCTGCCGTCCGCTTTCTCGTTTCACCGCGTCAATTCGTGTGCAAGATGGCGTCGATCTCGCTCCGAGCACCGCTGCTCGCGTTGTTTTGTAAAACGTCCGACAGGCGGCGCCCGCCTCTTGCCTATCAATGACGTCACCGACTGCTGTCTCTTGTCCAGCAGCCACACGTTGCTCCTCTGACGTGCCCTCCCCCGATACTCCCCCCCCCCCCCCCCCCCCGTCTCTCCCTCCCAGTCCCCACCCCGGCAGTCAGTGACCCGGTGCGCGTACGTGCCGGCAGTTTGTGTACGTCAGCCAGGCGTTCTCGCCGTCACCCGACCAGACCATCGGTAACCTGCTGGAGAGCTTCGGCTCGGAGGGCAAGCTCGTGCTGCACTACTGCCGCACGCAGGCATGGGGCTGAACGGCGCGGCCGGCGCAGGCCCGGGTGGCGCAGGCCCAGGCGGCGCGCGGCTCGCTCCGAGGACTCCGAGTCAGCGGAGAGGCCAGGGTCGGGCCGAGAGTCGTCGGCGCCTACCGTGGGAGCGACGGTGGCAGCGCCGGGGCACGTGCCCGCGGACTCTGAGCGGGTCTGTGGTACCGGCGATGGGCGGTGGCGGGGTGGCGCGTCATGCTGTCGTCGGGGTGTGACGCGCTGTGATGCTCCGTGACGCGGAGTGACACGGAGTGTTATGCTCCAGGGTGCGCCGGGCTGTGGGGCCCGCTCGCTGCGGCTCTCCCGGCGTCATGCGGGTCCCGTCGTCTCCCAGCGTGCACGAGCTGTGCTCAGAGCCCTCCGCCTTGGCCCCGGAAGCACGGCGTCGGCCCGCGGCCGCCTCCAGTCGTGGCGCTTGCCAGCGATGGCGTGACGTCACGGAAGATGTGCAGGCCAATCGCCGGCGTTCACCTGTTTTGAGTTGGTTGTAAAGGGTCAGGTTGGACGGACAGTCGGTAGATGTCTTTTGCCCCGCTCGTGGCAGCGTCGAGGGAGCTGTGGGCCTACGATGCCGTGATGTTGAGTTGATTGGTGAGATGAGCGACGGTTTTATTCACTGTGATAATCTCAGTGCTCGTGTGCGTGGTTTGCGTGCTATGAAGGGCCAGAGCTTATGCTGATGTGTTTAGTGATTATCATTCGGGTGTCCCAGGTTTTTTTGTGTCTCCGTCTATGCTGATCCTTCACTCGTCGGTCGCTGTTGGATCGTGAAATCGACTATTTCGGCCGATTTAAACGCTCAAATACACCACCGACTTATGCATATGAGCCGATTCCACCTGGTAGTAGCGGAGGCGCGCGCCCCTGATAATCTGCAAAGCACACGAGTGGAGCTCTGGGTTAGCTCCGTTAGAGGTCTCCTCTGCTATGTTATCCCCCACCCGCCAACCCCCCCCCCCCCCGCACACCATCGCAAGCGCACTAAAGTGTCCATAAGCAGTAAAAACAGCATATGTCATGTTAGGTCTGGGAAATACTTGTCCCTGGGACCTCAATTGGCGCAACTGGGGACTGAGGAAACTAGGCGCGCTGAGACTGAGCTGCGCCGGCAGTATCAGGTCGGAGGAGAGTATCCAGTGTTCGCTGACGTTTGCTGACTGTAGCGGGGGGTTTAGGCCCACGTGCCGCTCTAGTGCACTCATCCCAACTGCGACTGTGACACAGCTGCTGCCGAGGGGCTGCGTTATTGTCTGTCAATGTGTTTTCAAGGGGTCGCCTGAAAGTGGTAACTTAAAAGGTGAGCCCCCCCCCCCCCCCATCCCCCAACACCCGCGTATGAACCTTACCTATCAAGAACATTTTCACTTGCTGAATTGGTGCCTGAAGCTTAATGTTGGGTTCTCTCCAGGTCTGGATAAGTTAAGCGAATCGTGATGGCGCCAGCTCGCAGGTCGGTGGTATGCGTAGAAGGCGCAATCAAAGGTGTCTGTATAGCCTAGGAGAGGTACGCGCACCTCTAGCTATGCCGTTAGTTGCATTATTATCAAACTGACAACACACGTTTCATTGCTCCATTAAAGGCTTCCTTTCCCGCGTCACCCACACCAAAAGGTGGGATCGGATGTGCTGCAAAGCCTCCCGGCTATCCTTGTGACACTTCGTTAGGCCGCCATCTTGGATTGCTTCGATCCTCTGCCATCTACCCCATCCTGCGGTCATTCCCACTTCCGAACTCTTCTCAGCCCCACCGCACTCCGCCAGCAGCACTCAGCGCCCTCACCAACCTGCTGAGCATCTCGCCGCTTCCCCTTCAGTTGCCCGGGCAGTTTGTCGCGACGGCCGCGCGCGGCGCCACCGTCGCCGCTGGCCTCCGGCGTCGTCGGCGCGCCGTCAGAGGCTCATCACACGTCAGATCGGGCGCCAGAGCCGACGTTCTCCAGCAGCTGCACATAACCCCGCGTCGACGGCAGCGGGGGACAGAAAATCGATACCCCGGCCGGCGGCGCTCGGCCGCTGGCGGTCTGACATTTGGGGGCCAGATGTGGCCGCGGGGGCGGGGAGACACATGTGCGGACTGGGCGTCAGCGTGTTCGTTCAGTCGGCCGGCGGCTGGGCTGCTGCTGCCGGGGTCGGGAGCTGTTGACACCGAGCCGCTGCAGGCCAGTCAAAAGGCAGCGCAGTGCGGTTGGCGCGAAGACAATGCGAGGAATCGTAAATGTCAGGTTCAGAGAAAACGAAGCCCGCGGCACTGGTGTCCGTGCGGGGTGCAGCAAAACGGGTGCCGATAGGGCGGTGGTTAACGCGTCTGCGTAAGGCGCTGCACGTACTGAGAAAAGGCGGCGAGGGTTAGATTCCCCGCGGTGCCCGCCTTTCCTGCCGGAGTGAGGGACAGGCGACGACATAAAGCCTCATCAGCTGAGTGTGTCAAAAAGCCCCAACGACGACAAGGATGTAACAAAATGGTGCTATTCTAGTCCTCAGCTCCGCAATCAGAAACTTCACATTGGCCGCGTGGGTGCTGCCTTGACCCATCCCCACGTTTCCCACTAGATTCCTGGACCCCCACAGACGACCGCTGAATCCACCTCTGCACCTGGTTTGCCCGCTTTTCCCTTTGCGCGTGTTGGATGCGGTATTTTATGGCGGCCGTTTTTGGGCTAGGCTCAGGGCTCAGCGTCTGTGGTAGTCATCTTAGCGGAATGGAATGTCCCCAAAAATGGGAGGGTGACGAATGTTGGAGTTAATGTCTGTCTACGCCTCATCACACAGGGTTAGTTCCCCGTATTTACGTCCAGAGGCCAGGGGCTTCCTCTTCCGGCATCTACCTCACGTGCCAACGCGTTTTTTCGCCAAAAATGATGTCGCGAGCAGAAGAAAACGATATAAAATGGTGACAGCCGGGGGAGGGGCGGTCGCTGAATTGTAATCGGCCCCGCGAGAACGGCCACCAACATACTTAATGAGACCAGGGCCTTGGGAGAGGATCATGGGCGAAAGTTGGTGCTGGGCCTTATGATCGTGTCCAAAACATGCAGTACAGGCCTGGTAGCGAGAGCATTAAGGACACGGGAACAGCCATGTCCATCTTTGGGTTAGTTTGACACGGTTTCCATGGCGTGGCGTGGTAAGAGCTGGACGCAGATTAACTCCTGCCCCCTCCCCCCCCCGTCGCCCCCCTCCGCCCAACTTTTGGAAGATTCCGCGGCATCTAAGCGCAGCTGCGCACTTTTCCTCAGCAGCGCGCTGAGCAATGACCATCGAATCGACGTTTTTAATCCTCTATTAACGCATCTGACGGGCAATCTATGGCGGCCGCACCGCGCCGGGCACCCACCAATCAGAGTTTGATTCCTTCGGAGGTTCCTTGATTCCTTTTCAGTCAACAGATTGCTTCAGCGCAATCCCTTCCGATTGAGGCCCGCTGGGTGCTCACTGATGCCGTCTCTGACCGACAATTAGCACACTGTTGGGTCGAATCCAGTTCCCACGTAAGGGTCCAGTTACGATGCGAAAGCGAGTACAGTGCAGTTGAATCCAACACCAACAGTTTATGAGATAGCCCGTTTGATTGGTATAAAGGTTGATTTGATATAGAACATGTCAAAGCACGCGGTTCCCATGGCGTCGCATAGCAAAGGCTGGATGAACGGTCGCCCCTGTCCCCTCCCCTCTTCCCAACTTTGAGAGATTCCCATAGTGTTCTTGTACTTACCCTTCGCGCAACTATTTTGCAAAGTAAATTTTTTCCGCCTGTTATAATCGATTGAAATGCTATGACACCAACTGCTATATATATATATATATATATATATATATATATATATATATATATATATCTCCTCTCTCTCTCTCTCTCTTCTCTCTCTCTCTCTCTCTCGTATACGTGGGCAGCAGTAAATGTCCGGTCTTATGTCGTCATTTTGTAGTATGTCGGTTTCTACGTGCTCCATTTAGAGCTTAGCGAATAGAGATCCTAGAGGTGAACCCGTCGCAACACCCTCAGTTTGGCAATACATTTCGTCGATCAGGACCGCGGAAAGGAACTTCCAAGGAACAGGCTTCTAGTACTTGTTTAAGAAGACGCTTAATATTTTGAGAGGAGAAATCTCGGAATGATTGTAAACGCGGTCAAAGAACATGGATATGGCTCTTTCAGTGGGCAAGTTCGTAGATAGATTTTCAACATCTAGAGAGGCTAGTAGACCGTTAGGTTGACGAGATCGCACTATATCAATAAGCTCATCCGTTGACGACAAACTGTGGGACATGGGAAAGTATGGGAACAGAATATCATTAAGACGTTTTGCAGTTTTATAGGTTGGTGAACGGATCTGTGACATTATTGGACGAAGGGGGTTGCCATTTTTGTGAGTTTTTACAGACCTGTAAGTATAACCAGGCGCAAATTCACCCGTTTTCTTGGAAAAGTGTGTGCCATCAACGGCGGCATAGGCAGCAGTGATTCGTTTGTTAAGTTTTGGTATTGAGTTTGTCTGTTGGATCTTTTGTGATGCGCCGGAACTTCTTGTCGTCGTTCAAGATGAAGTTTTATTTCTCATGATATTCCCTTTTGCCAAGTATTACGTAGAGTGATGATTTGTCCGCTCGCCGAATGATGATGTCGTCTTTTCCTCTAAGTTTTTTGCCGCCGTCCTGAGTTCTTTTGTGAATATCTTGCTCCTATAATTTCCACGTTTTTTTCGTGCTCTCTCCCAGTAAGCTGTTCTTTAGATCCTTCTCTATGGTAATCTTGTCCTCTTTTTCCAAATTCAAGATATCCTGGTCAATAATTTCTAGTTATACCTTCTTCTTAAGTTTATCATATTTCGACAACACATGGCAATTAAGTCCAAAAAAAGCACCTCTTGCTCCTCAGTAAGATCATGATGAGATAAATTGATGTAACCATTGGCAGTTTCCGGCAACATTATATGCCCACCATGGAGCCTTGAGAGCTTTTAGCAATATTCTGTTTCTAGTAAGACGCCTAGTATCATATTCGATCACGTCGAGTTCGTAAAGTACTTTTTGTCTTAGTTCATGTTCAGGGCAACATACCTGTAGCTCTTCTAAAACTTTTCTCTTTCTCTTTAGGATTCCGCAGGCCGTCTTCTTTCGCTGTAGTTGGTGATTCACTCAGGTGCCGCTGTGCCGCATCAGATGCCGTTACGTAGACGATTTCGTTAAGGAAGCTAGGGACATCGACCAACTAGGACGTCTAAAAAACAACCGTGAAGAGCCGTCAGGTTTATTATATATATATATATATATATA